TTTTTGTTGAAATCAAACAAAGTTTCATTTTGGATCCCAATTTGAACATACTTGAAAACTGAGCCGGACACCAAAAATCTTAATACACTGTTAGATTGGGCGTATCAAAGAACACCAATAATTCAATTTTTTTTTAAATCAAACAAAATTTAATCATTTATGACCCATTGGACCTTAATGTGAACCAATTTGAAAAACAGGCCCAAAAATCAAAAATCTACAACACTGTTAGATTGGGCATATCAAAGAACACCATATATTCAATTTTTGATGAAATCAAACAAAGTTTAATTTTGAACCCCAATTCCCAATTTGGACCAACTTGAATACTGTGCCCAAAATCAAAAATATAAATACAAGCTTAGATTCAGCATATCAAAGAACCCATTGAATTCAATTTTTGCCAAAATCAAACAAAAAAAAAGAACCCCAAGAAAACAAGAATTTGCATTAGACCCCATTGAAATTTGTCAAGAAATAAGCAATTTATACAAAGTATTAGAAAAGAATTGTTTTTGGCCCCTTTTTCCTAAACCCTTAGGGTCATAGCCCCCAAAATCAATCCCAATCTTCCTTTTATGGTGTAAAACCTTGTGGCACAACTGAATAGCAATCCATACACTTATACTCAAGTTATATATCCAGAATCCAGAAAATCCTTGTTTTTTTGCCCCTTTTCTGCCCCTAATTCCTAAACGGTTTTGGCCATGACCCCCCAAAATCATTCTCAACCTTCCTATTGTGGTATGGAAACTCGTGGAAAAATTTCATAGCGATCCATACACTTATACACAAGTTATTGTCCTGAAACAAGAAAAATACTTGTTTTTAGCCCCTTTATAGCCCCTATTCCTAAACAGGTAAGACAATAACCCTCAAGATCAATTCCAACCTTCCATTTGTGTGCGATGAAACAGTCAATACAAGTTCGTTGATGCTAAGAATCTTTTGTGAAAAGTTTCGACAGTTTAAAAAAGGGCCCCAACTTTTAAGTCATCTCAAAATGACCAAAATTGTGTGAAAAAAATTCCGGATTCTTGACTATACAAGAAAGTTTTCTACACTAGGGGTTGCTGGCAAAGTTATGTGTGCAAAATTTTTTTACAAATCCTGAAAATTTTTACCAAACACATTAATAATGCTTAATAAAGAAGCCATAACTTTGTAATTTATAATATGATATGCCAATAAAATGCTCCGCAGGGCGCAGCTTGATACGACCACAGAGGTCGAACCCTGAACAGTTGGAGCAAGTATGGACACAACATTCAAGCTTGATACAGCTTTGTATTTGGATTGTGATTAAATATTTGACACAGCATAGGTTTCTGACACAGAATGAATGTGCTCTAAGAACTTAAAAATTTTAAATTGGACATTCACCTATTATGGTCCAATATCCAAAATCTAAATACATGGTTAGATTCAGCATATCAAAGAACCCCAAGAATTTAATTTTTGATGAAATCAAACAAAGTTTAATTTTGGACCCTTTTGACCTCAATGTGGACAAAGTTGATAACGGGGCCCAAAAATCAAAAATCTAAATACATGGTTAGATTCAGCATATCAAAGAACCCCATATATTCAATTTTTGTTGAAATCAAACAAAGTTTAATTTTGGACCCCGATTTGGACCAACTTGAAAACTGGGCCCATAATCAAAAATCTAAATACATGTTTAGATTCAGCATATCAAAGAACCCTAAGAACTCAATTTCTGTTAAAATCAAACTAAGTTTAATTTTGGACCCTTTGGACCTTAATGTAGACCAATTTGAAAACGGAACCAAAAATTAAGAATCTAAATACACGGTTAGATTCGGCATATCAAAGAACCCCAATAATTCAATTTTTGATGAAATCAAACAAAGTTTAATTTTGGACCCTTTGGACCTCAATGTGGACCAATTTAAAAACAGGGCCCAAAATCCAAAAACTAAATACACGGTTAGATTCAGCATATTAAAGAACCCCAACAATTCAAGAATAAAACCCCATTGAAATTGGTCAAGAAATAAGCATTTTATACGAAGTATCTTCTTTTGCACAATACTGTGCAATTAAATATTTCTTGCTATTGCGCAATACTGTACAATTGACAATTTCTTGCTATTGCGCAATATTGTGCTATTGGATATTTCTTGCTATTGCGCAATACTGTGCAATTGAAGATTTCTTGCTATTGCGCAATACTGTGCAATTGAAGATTTCTTGCTATTGTGCAATACTGTGCAATTGAAAATTTCTTGCTATTGCACAATACTTATTATATAATAATTTACACATCCTGTTTGGTGTGTATCTCCTACCATATCATTATTATTTGCTTTTAAATATAAATCAGAAATAACCAACTTAAAATGGAAAATTTTAAAAGAAAAAAAAAAGGAAAAAAAGAAAAAAAAGGAAAAAAAAAAAATCCCCCCCCCCAAATTTTTTGAACCCCCTTATGATTCATCACCCCCAAACTCAATCCCAGCCTTCCCTTTGTGGTATGGTACCTTGCAGTACAATTTCAAAGAGATCCATACACTTGAACACAAGTTATTGTCTGGAAACTAGAAAAATATGTTTTTTGGCCCCTTTTTGGCCCCAAATTCCTAAACATTTAGGGCAATTACCCCCAAACTCAAACCCAGCTTTCCCTTTGTGATATGGAACCTTGTAGTACAATATCAGAAAGATCCATACACTTACACACAAGTTATTGTCCTGAAACTAGAAAAATGTTTGTTTTTTGCCCCTTTTTGGCCCCTAATTCCTAAAATATTGAGGCAATTACCCCCATCATCAATCCCAGCCTTCCCTTTGTGGTATGGTACCTTGCAGTACAATTTCAGAGAGATCCATACACTTGAACACAAGTTATTGTCTGGAAACTAGAAAAATGCTTATTTTTGGTCCCTTTTTGGCCCCCAATTCCTAAACGTTTCAGCAATTACCCCCAAACTTAATTCCAGCTTTTCCTTTGTGATATGGAACCTTGTAGTACAATTTCAGAAAGATCCATGCACTTACACACAAGTTATTGTCATGAAACTAGAAAAATGCTTGTTTTTTGCCCCTTTTTGGGCCCCTAATTCCTAATATTTTGAGGCAATTACCCCCAAAATCAATCCCAGCATTCCTTTTGTGATATGGAACCTTGTGGTACAATGTCAGAGAGATCCATACACTAACACACAAGTTATGTCTGGAAGTTACAAAAATGCTTATTTTTGGCCCCTAATTCCTTTACTGTTGGTACCATAACCCCCAAAATCAATCCCAACCTTCCTTTTGTGGTATTGAACCTTTTGGTAAAATTTCATAGAGATCCATTCACTTAAACTAAAGTTAGAGTGCGAAAACCAATGTGTCTTCGGACGACGCCAGACAACGACGACGACGACGCCAACGTCATACCAATATACGACCACAAAAATTTGTTTGCGGTCGTATAAAAAGGAGCTATTTGTAAACTTATCATTCCTTTAAATGAACTTATTCTAAAAGGTTACCTATTCAACACTGTAATTAAATCTTTGAATATTGTTTTTATTGGTGTAAATATTGATTTTGTTATCAGTAAATTAAAACCATACTTAATATTACACATATGTACTTTCACTGCACTACAATCTGTCGATACTTATAGTTTGGCATTGCACAAGGTCATGTTTATCTCTGACTGTTAATGACGTCTTTACACTAAATGATAAATCCATTAGATGCTGGATGTGTACTGATTGATATTTTAGTCTTAGATAAAATTGAGAATGGAAATGGGGAATATGTCAAAGAGACAACAACCCAACCAAAGAGCAGACAACAGCCGAAGGCCACCAATGGGTCTTCAACACAGCGAGAAAATCTCGCACCCGGACGTGGTCCTCAGCTGGCCCCTATATAAAATTGTGTACTAGTTCAGTGAAAATGGACGTCACACTAAACTCCAAAACATATTGTTATTGGCTTCGAACTAGCTGTCAGTAACTGGTAGTACTCTCAGATCTGTACTTAGTGTCTTTTTTGTTTTAGGGATATATAAGGACCCGTCTACGTCCACTTTGTATTTTTGTTAGATGTATTTCTATTTGTATCCATCTGATGAGTTAAGCCTTTTTCAACTGATTTTTATAGTTTGTTCTTATGTTGTACTGTTACACCACTGTCCCAGGTTAGGGGGAGGGTTGAGCGCTCACAAACATGTTTAACCGTGCCACATTCTTCATGTGCCTGTCCCAAGTCAGGAGCCTGTAGTACAGTGGTTGTTGTTGGTTCATGTCTGTCATATTTGTTTTTTCGTTAACTGTTTTGTTATAAATTAGGCTGTTAGTTTTCTCAATTGAATTGTTTCATATTTTTCATGTTGGGGCCTTTTATAACCGACCATACTGTATTGGTTTTTCTCATTGTTGAAGGCCGTACAGTTGCCTATAATTGCTTACATCCATTTCATTTGATCTTTGGTGGATAGTTGTCTCATTGGCAATCATACCACATCTCCTTATTTTTATATGCATGTACTGTAAAAAAATCACAAGTAAAGACTATGGTAAACATGATTGTTAAGCTGTAGCAAAATGTCCCCCACGCTGAATATATGAGGAATTAAATTTTGTGCAAGGTGTTGTTGTGGTACAATAGACAAAATATGGTCAATGTCGTATAACTCTGACAATGGTCAGATTAAAATGTCAGTATAATATGACTACACATAATGGGAAACAACATAATTTTCTCTAAGTATGAGAGCTTTCTGTAAAATGTTCACAGATGAAGTGCGTTCACAAGGTGTTATTGTTAAAAAACTCTAAAAATAAGCAAAGTCCCATACTTTTCATAAAAACTGTCAAATCAGTGACAATATTGCATGGTCAAAAGATTATGACCACAAATAATTCTACGAAGTATGAAAGTTTAAAGTCAAACGGTCTCTCAGTATTGATGTGTTTTAAACAGACAGATGGAAGGAGACATTGATCTTAGTTTATAAATATCACTGAAAAGCATACCTTGTCATTTTTGCAACCTTTCATGGCTTTCTTCACCATAATTCTTGTATTCAATATATCTTCTACCATCCTATAATTGTAAGCTAGAATGTACACTTGTATTAGTAAAAATCATTATATGTCAGCATTAAAATTTTAATATAGTATTGTTATCAAGTTTTGGCTATTGGAAATTCTAATAAATGTTTAATTACTTTATCAGATATTAATGCAACAGTCTGAAATTAAGACTGGCTTTTTAGCAATTACTGAAACTAAAACTCCATACAGTACTGAAATAAAAGACTGATTGATTGGTGTTTAACACCACTTTCAGCACTATTGTGCTATTTCCTGACTCTCAGTTTTTATTGGTGGAGGAAGCTGTAGTGCCCGCTGAATACCACAACCTTCAGAAGGAAAACTGACAATCCTAGTCAATTAAGATTGGAGTCGAGTTCACCCGCATATCCAATTTATATAAAATTGCATTGTTAGCACTCTCATGCGTACAACTCTTGCCAGAATTTTATGAAACTTATATCATAGGTTTATATCAGCAAGGTCTTGGATGAGTTTGAAAATCAGTGCTGATCAGTTATTTTTGAAAGAGTTATGCCCCTTGGAAATATAAATTGTATGGAAAATTGCCTTATGAGCGCTCTAATGTGTACAATTCTTGCCAGATTTTTATGAAATTTATATTATAGGTTTATATCATCAATGTCTTTGACGAGTTCAAAAATCAGTGCCGATCAATTATTTTTAAAAGTGTTTGGCACCTTGGAAATTATCCATTTTAGATGGTGATGTTCCCTTGTCACCATCTTAAGGTGTTTATATATCTCAACTTGTTTGATTTGCTCGTGTATGCAACAACGTATTTGATTTTAACGAAAGAAATATCTGTATTACTGAAAAATTATAACACCAGGGTTTTTCAATATCACAAACTAGTCAAAACATTTACTAAATTTTGTCATCGGTACAAGGACATCATTCATAAATATAAATCAACATGCAGACATCTTATACGTTCAGGTATTTCACATCCAATCTTTTACGGTAATATTCTATACAAAGCACCAAAATGTCGTCACTCACCTCAAAAGCTAACCAAACCTTTAAACAGACTTATTCAGAAGGGATATAGTTACGATACTTTTGTCAGGTCATTAAAGATGGCATTTTTTGGAAGTAATATTGATTCACTCCTAGGGTCTTTGCATCGGAATTAAACACATTTATTCTAAAACCAGTTGCTGGCATGATACGGGTTATGTTCTTCTCATATATTTTATGATGGTATGATACTAAACCCCTAACGGGAGGGATTGTGCTAATTTTCATATGATGAAGACATAATCTTTCAATCAGTTTAATTGAGGTTTGGAGCTGGCATATCAGTAACTGCTAGTAGTCCTTTGTTAACTAATATGTATCATTGTCATTTTGCTTAGTTTCTTCTGTTACCTATTCTAACATCGGACTCGGACTTCTTTTAAACTGAGTTTTACTGTGCATATTGCTGCGTGTTTGTTTATTCTACATTGGCTAGAGGTATAGGGGGGAGGTTGAGATCTCACAATACATGTTTAATTCCGACGCATTTTTGCGCCTGTCCCAATTCAGGAACCTCTGGCCTTTATTTTTTTAGTCTTGTATGTTTTTTTGAAATTTTGGTTCATTTATATGTTTCGGAGTTTAGTGTGTTGTCCATTTTTGCTGAACTAGTACACATTTTTGTTTAGGGGCCAGCTGAAGCCCTCCTCTGGGCGCGGGATTTTCTGGCCGTGTTGATGACCCATTGGTGGCTCTTTGGTCCAGTTGTTGTCTCTTTGACACATTCCTCATTTCCATTCTCAATTTTATTAAATGGAAAATTGCATTGTCAGCGTTCTCATGTGTACCATTACTGCCAGAATTTTATAGGTTACTTATATGAAATTTACGTATTGTTTATACATGTACAAACAATATTTCCAGCCAACATTGATAATTAATCTTTCCAGTAAACATGCTAACATCTTGGATACATTTAATTAACATTCACAGACCACTTGCTACATCTTGAGATTAATTTCTCTGGCTTTTGACACTTTGAAGTTACACTGTAATCAGTTCAAAGCAGTCAAACTAAGTTGAAGTTGACAGTTAAACGGTGCTAGAATTCAATTTATTATTATTTCAACTTTAACAACTGGACTTAATCATTTTTTTTTAACTTGAACATTGTCACAATGTGGCTGCATTACTGAACCACTATCATACTGATTTTAAATATTTACTTTGTACATGAACTTTGTTTTGTTTCCACCTTCAGATCTTATTAACCTATACATGCACAGCTGAGTTTTCAATGTTTGAAAACTTGTGTAGTTCATGTACACATTTTTATATTTGGATATATCTGAATTTGAATGACTTATATAAAGCAGTACATTGTCAATACTTGTGGAGTTTATAACATTGATAACTGTGTTAGAGAGTATTATGTGATAGAACAGAATCCAACATCAGATCCATATGTATTTCACAGTGACCATACAGAGATTTCCATCGAGTGTTTATGAACTGCATGGCCTTACCTTCTATACAACTGTTCTAGGTAAGTATATTTGTATTGAACTTTTATTTCTTATATACAGATGTATTGTGCTGGGAAATTTCTTTGAAAATTATAAACTTCAGGCAAACTAGAGACTAGATTTAACTGGTTTATATATAAAAAATAATCAAATTTTCACTTTCTTTTATATATCTTAACATGCGTATTCAGAAAACAGCCTCATGAAATATTAAGTATAGATTCATTTCATCATCTTTATTGGAATAGATGTGTTTTATTTTTATTTATTTTTTATTTGTCACTCTCTTTAATATAAGATTTTTGTTTGTTGTCCTCATACTTACATGCCCACGTATTGCAGAATAATTATTAAAGTAGTTTCATGATCTAAAGATAGATAAGATAAAGAAATTTAAGGGCCCAGCCATAATGAGCAAAGTAATTTTATTATTTTTTTTTAAATATTCTTTTCGATTTAGAATTCTGACAATCACATAAAATTTTATATTTTATAATATTATGCTGAATACTCCTTGTATTATTCTGGATCACGTTTGCAATTATATTAATTAAAATGTTTATTGGATTGTAGTTTCAGACATTCATATATTCCGGAATTAAATCTGGACTTAACCGTGTGAACTGCCGTTTACTTTCTTTTCCTTACCTTTCAATTGCAAATGGATGACACGACAAATTTGATTCTGAGGATATTGTGACAAATCACCGTCAAGTAAGTTCCAAATCGATTATAAACTGTTAAATATATATTCTTTTAATTCTGTTAACACGAATTACACGTTTATTCAACAAATACGAATTGTAATTGTTTGAACTGCAAATTCTACTTTCGTTTTTAACTCGATTTTAATATTTGCATTTAACGTTCATATATTACATTCAAACATATTGTAAAATATTGTATTTTTATTTCTTTCAGTTTACCAAACAATACACACTCTGTAATAACTGCCTAATCCCTTCTGGTGGAATCATAATCTACAATCTTCAAACACAAGTTGTTATTTTTATAATTTGCTGAGATTGCGATTAGCCCTTGGTTAAACTAGCTGAGTCAGGCTCAGTACACCTTGCATCATGTGCATAATATGGAGATTTTAAATAGATTTTACAGATGTTTTGCATCTCAATATACATTACTGATTTAGAAAGTTGAGAAATGACACTTGTTGACTTTAGTGTAATCTAAGGTTGTAGTCATGTCAGGTTTAGCAATTTTTGTCAGATGTTCAGACTCCTTGGGGTTTTCCTGCGATACAGGGTAAAATATTTTGCAAGGCCATATCACCCACTTTTCTTAGTATATAAGACTTCAATAGCTCATAAAAGGTTATTTACCAAATTTAAACAGATCTTACATGTCTTTTCTTACGATTTGAGACCCAAATAATGCAATGCATAATATAAGGTAAAAGTCTAACCCGGCCTTTTCCCACCATTTTTTAAAAATTAAATATCTTGAAAAGGAGTTCCATTACCTATCAATATTTCTAGCTTATTTTTCCCACCTTAACTAATGCTCTTCTGGCTTATAGTATCAATTTTAAATTCCAGATCTTTTTAATTTCATCTGACTACATCCTTAATTCAGATTTCAAATGATTCTAAATGGATAAACAGTTACTTTACTTGTTATACATATACATTTATAGAATTAACTTTGCTTGTTATACATATATATTGATAGAATTAGCTTGTTATACATATATATTGATAGAATTAGCTTGTTATACATATATATTGATAGAATTAACTTAAGTACAGCATTTGATATTGTCTATAATTATTGACACCTTTCTTCGTTTCTTTTATTTGCATATCTAACACTGAGGAAATGGAGACATATTGCACCACATAAGACACTATGAAGTTCTACATTTTACCTAAGATTTGGCTAAAGCTGGACTTATACCGATATGTCAATGGGACGAACAATTTCCAGTTGTTATTATTGAACTTTAAATAAGAAGATGTGGTATGAGTGCCAATGAGACAACTATCCATCCAAGTCACAATGTGTAAAAAGTAAACAATTATAGGTCAAAGTACGGCCTTCAACACGGAGCCCTGGCTCACACCGAACAGCAAGCTATAAAGGGCCCCAAAATGACTAGTGTAAAACAATTCAAACAGAAAAATCAACGGTCTAATCTATATAAAAAACGAGAAACGAGAAACACTTATGAACCACACCAACAAACGACAACCACTGAACAACAGGCCCTTGACTTAGGACAGGTGCATAAAAATGCAGCGGTTTTAGACGTTTTAACAGGCTTTACATTTATTAAACTGAAGCTCAGTTATACCTACATATAAACATGAACATTGCCATTATTCTGATCATAGTATCAAAAGTTGGATAATCTTAAACACTATTTCATCTTTCATCTGTGGTTTAAAGCACAATCAGCAACTAGTATCACATTTATCAAGTTCAGAATGTTACCATGTTCAAACAAGATTACAACAGACATGACAGATACTTCAACAGTACCATA